GGGAGGGGGCGGCAGTAACTTTTGAGCAGCGATTTCTTATCGTGATTCAGGGATTTCCAATTGGAGAGAGAGAGAGGGGAGAGGTAGAGAGAGAACGAGCTTTGGGGGAAATGAGAGACGTGGGCTTGATTTCTGAATTAATTGAATTAATAATATATAAAACACCTGATTTTTGAAAGATTAAACTTATCACCTCATTTTTGAATATGAATTTTGAAAAGTAGGGTTTGGGGTAATTTTCTCTATAAAATTTGAATTTAAATGTTGATGTAATGGATAACAATCATATTTTTCATTTTAATGAAATAATAATGTAGATCAAATGGGCTAAATAAACCAGGGGTAAGCTGTGCAGCCAGGGGTAAGCTGTGCAGCCCATTGCCGTCTCTTTCCCGTTGCATGCATATGTATTGTACATACATACATACTCCTCATAATTCCAATTCACTGAAGAAGAGATTTGACTTCATTTGAGAGAGAATGAAAATATTTTGACGTCCACATATACATACGCACACTCCATCTCTCCTCTTCGACCATACTCTCTCTAAAAAGTAAAGCCCAGCTGCTAAATTAAACTGTGTTCTCCTCTCTCTAGTTAATCAAGATTTTTGAGAAGAACAATTTGACAGCACAAAATTATATTTTTCATTGTAGGTTTTCACATGGGTTTTGCAAGAATTAGTTAATTTGATGCTAAGGAAGAAGAATAATATTAACTTCATTTTCAGTGATTAACAGACCCAGCTTTCAAATCCTGCTCTGGTAACGCTACTTTTCATTTTGCTGGTTTCCATTTTCCATTTTTTTTAGGCTACACACACATATTCAAGCACTTATGTAATTGTGAAGTGTGGAGCCATTGTTGCATCGGAGTTCTGAATCGAGTGTTTTCGAGATTTAGGGCTTGACCGAGTTTTCCTCTTTAATCGATTCTTTTGTATAATCTTTGCTCTTCAAATAATTGTTATTGAATTTCAATTATTTTAGCAATTTCTGTTTAGATTTTTTTTTTTTGGAGCTAGAATATATTATTATTATTTATTTATTTTTATTTTGTTGTGGAACATGGTCACCCAATATTTTATTTGATACGGTGTAATGAGAAATCTGACTTAATCTGGGGTTGTTATGCAGGGATTATTGAGAAGGATGGCGAAAGATTAGAACTTGAGAAGAAAAGAATGAAATTTAGGGCAATAGCATTTTAATAATTCTGATGTTTGTTGGGGTCTTTCGAGTTGATTTCTAGCACATTTATATACTGTCTTCAGCGTTCTGTGTAATTTGGAATCTTGTTTTATATACTTTGAAGGTGGGGCGTTAAGATTAATGTTACTTTTTGCAGTGTAGGGGACTGAGTGTTTTGTAGATTAGAGTTTGTTTTTTTCGGGGGGAAAAAAAAAATGGTGCCTCAAGGGCCTCCCAATCCACATGGTGGATCCCGGCCAATTCCACCATCATTGTTGAGATCAAATTCCAGTTTGTTGGGAGGTCAAGGGGGTGGTATTTCTTCGCAGAATGCGTTCCCACCTCCGGTATCTCCACAGAACCAATTTAACATGAACATGATTGGGAATGGGCCCAATGTTTCTTCTTTTCTTCATCAGTCATTTGGTAATGGTGGTCCAAGTTCTGGCTCCCAGCGGGGGGATATTGACAGCGGGACCAAAACCAATCCACTCTCGAGTGTTGGAAATGGGATGGGATTTAATCATTCTTCTCCATCTTGTTTGTCGTCGTCTATCACGATGAATCCAAACTCGTCTGGTCTTCGAAGCCAGCAACAATTGCCAAGTACTTCCGGCAATCAGATGTTGATGGACGAGCAACAACTTGATCCTCACAATTTTCAGCATAATCAGCAGCAGTTTTCTGTTCCTGGCAACCCCCAACAAAAACAGCAGCAGCAATTTCAAACAATGAGAGCTGGATTAGGAGGTGTTGGACCCGTTAAGCTGGAGCAACAAGTGACGCATGATCAAACATCACAACAGTTGCATGCTTTGCGAAATCTTGGTACTGTCAAATTGGAACCACAACAATTACCAAATACGAGGAACTTGGTGACTGTCAAAGCGGAACCACAACATTCAGACGCGTCTTTGTTTTTACAGCAGCAGCAACAGCAACAGCAGCAGCAGCAACAACAGCAGCTCCTTCTGTCCAGACAGTCATCTCAGGCGGCTGCAGCTGCACAGATTTTGCATCAACAGAGGCTCATGCAAATCCAGCATCAGCAACAGCAGCAACTCTTGAAGTCTATGCCTCAACAAAGATCTCCGATGCAAGCACAGTTACATCTACAGAATTGGCCTATTAGGTCTCCTATCAAACCAGTATACGAGCCTGGGATGTGTGCCCGACGGTTGATGCATTATATGTATCAGCAACAACACAGACCTGAAGTATTACAATTTTTTTAATTTGAAAACAAGAAAATAAGTTGTGAAAGAGTCTTTAGTCGACATTTTTGTTTGCCCATGATTGACAACTCTGCTGACTTATCTTTGTAGGATAATAATATTGAGTTCTGGAGAAAATTTGTGGCCGAATATTTTGCTCCCAATGCCAAGAAAAAGTGGTGTGTTTCTATGTATGGAAGTTGCCGCCAAACTACGGGAGTTTTCCCTCAGGTTTGTTGGGATGGTAGACAGAATTTTTAACTTCTGCGACTGTCCTGGTCCTGTGTATGCAATTATTAGTACTCACATTTATAGCTCATAATTTAAAATTGTTGTGGCTATCAAAGTCTGCGATTTACCTATTATTGGGTGGTACTGGGATCTCTTATGTAATCATTGTATGCGTGTATTCAGGCTGTTTGGCACTGTGAAATATGCAACCGCAAACCCGGTCGTGGATTTGGTATGCTTCCTTGCATTTGTAGACCTGATCTTTATTGGTTCTTTGCTAACAGTTGATATGGTGTTCTTTTCCCAATTTATGTTTCTTTCTGATGTCATCATGGATAGACACTTCTTAAGTTTACTGTTCTTTATATAATTTCCATTTAGAAGTTTAAAATCAACCCCCCAACCCAACGACAGTGAGAAAAACAAAAATGAAATAAGAAATTAATAAATAAATAAAAAACACTTCAACGTCTAATATTTTTAATGTCTGTCAGAGGCAACTTTTGAGGTCCTTCCCAGACTATTCAAAATAAAATATGAAAGTGGTACATTGGAAGAATTACTCTACATTGATATGCCTAAGGAGTATCAGAATTTATCCGGGCAGATTGTTCTGGACTATGCAAAAGCTATTCAGGAGAGCGTCTTTGAGCAACTTCGTGTTGTTCGTGATGGACAACTTCGAATAGTATTCTCTCCAGATCTCAAGGTTGTGCTATGTTGTTTTTAGTTGTTTTAGATTCATGGAGCTGCTGTTTACACACTACTATTTCAATACTCTGTCAGATATGCTCCTGGGAGTTCTGTGCTCGGCGTCATGAAGAGCTTATTCCTAGAAGATTGTTGATACCGCAGGTCAGTCAGTTATGTAGAACTCGAATTTTAACTTCAAGTGCTAGTTCCATTTTAGTATGTGCTTTTATGAAATTATTATGATCCAATGAGATTGATGACATCACCATTTTAGAGATTGATGTCTTTGTTCAACACGCGCTTTAATGAGATACAATCAGTGGCAGAGCTGGGAACTTCTCATTGGGGTTGCAAATAAAGTAACAAAAATGTTTTGAATTAATACTACAATAATGAAGAGTTAAAAAAATAAAAAATCCAAAAACAGAATTAATACTACAATAATGAAGAGTAAAAAAAATAAAAAATCCAAAAACAATAACACCACACCGACTTTATGGAATAGAATTTCAGCCACATCATGATGAACCTATATTTCTACCATTTAAATTCTTTTTAGCAGATCTAGTAACTTTCGGATTCCATAAAATAAATTTCAAATAACTTCATCGCATCATCAAAAGAGTTTCAAAACAAATTCTCCCTCAACATTTTAAAAAATAAAACGCACCTTTAATGAGAGTAAAAAGATTGAACTTTATAAGACTGTTTTAGAAGTGTTTGAAACCGCGATGGAGTTTATATCCAAGTGATCTATTTTTTAGTTCAGTACACCAAACGAATTCAGAAAACCACAATTATCACCCTTTTGATATAAATAAATCATTCATTTGATACTGGATTTGATACTGGAAACTGTCAAAATTCCATGACAAAACTTTCAAATAATGAGAAATTCAAATGAACATGAGCTTTTAAATCTTTTAAGCCTGACAGGATGCTGGACGAAAGCCATTTTCTGCCAATGAGATCGCATTAGTGGCAGCATTTATAGTCTTCAGATCATTGGTTTCATTAACTCCTCTTCTCATCGTTGCTCTGATCAATTAAACAGAAAAAAATCACTCAATTCTTTTAGTTCCAAAAAGCTCCAGTTTCATCACAAATTTCTCGAGCGGAGTAAAGAAGACATAACAAATTCAACTGAATTTGAAGAACTTTGGGGAGATTTGATTAATAGGAAAAAAAAAAAAGAGAAACATTCATTAAACAAGTAAAATTTCATTAGAATCTTATAAAGATAAAAAATTTTAATAAGATTTATTGAATATTAAAAAGATTAAAGAGTTATTGATATTTAATAGAGAGAGAGAGAGAGAGAGAGAGAGAGAGAGAGAGAGAAGGTGGCTTACCCAAGTTTCTGAAGAGCATCCAGCGTAATGGAGAGCAGAAGTTGCTGGCCAGATGAGCAGCTGGCGACGGTTAGAGGGTTGAGTATTAAGCACCTAGGTTTCTTTGCTACTGTTTGGATTTGGGGAACTGGGGGAGGGATTGAGAGTTGGGGAGAGAGGATGAACTTATGAGAGACTGAGAGCGGAGCTCAGTAAATTTTTAGAAAATATAAAAGATATTTCAGCAAACATGGGGGACACGTGTCCCCAGGCCCCTAGCTCCGCCAGTGGATGCAATCCCAAGAGTATAACGTTATTACTGTTTTCTTTTACTCTATACTACATATATCCTTTTCCTGTACCTTCACTGTATTTTGTAGGTGCATCTTTTTACTAAAGTCCCTCAATTTTTTCTTTGGGGTTTGGAGAATTTCGGAAGTCTGTATAACTGGTTCCAGTTTTTGATCATTATTGGACCACTTCTGCCTTTTGGTTTTCAGCTCTATTATGATGTTGATTTTTGCTGTCTTGAAGCAGGGTGATTGTGTTTCCAGTGTCTTACTGCCATTTATGTGCTCCTCTGGTAATCAGAACTCACTTTATTGTACCCTGCAGGTTAGCCAACTTGGAGCTGCTGCCCAAAAATACCAGGCTGCAACTCAGAATGCGTCATCAAATCCTACTTCTGAGCTACAAAATAACTACAATGTGTGAGTACTGGTGCTTTCATTGTCTTTCTAAAGTTGCATAGAACTTCATAAATGCGTAAACGATCGGTCCTGCGATGTTCTGTTGAGAAACAATACTACCGTCTTTCTGAATGTGAAGTCTTTATACCAAACATCCAGTCATGTACAAAGACCAAAGAAATATAATGCAGTATGGACATATTAGGAAGATTTGTGCACTAATATACACCCACATATGCATTATGATATGACTTCGAAGGGATGCGGAAAGTTGCTGCGTTTACCTACACTGCTACACACTGTGTTTCCATATCGACATGGATTGAGTACACCTGCCTGCATCTCTGGATGCATCTCACTTAACTAATTTATTTGACTTATTCTCTTGCTGTACCTATATGGCTCAGCAAAGTTTTTCTGTGAAAGGGTCTTTGGAGAGTGTCCAGTATTGCCTTGTGTTTAAGGTCACTGGTTTATGCTGGTTGTGAACAGTTTTTGAGATATGCTATGTGCCAAGTATTCTTGATTTTGTATGATTTTGGGCCAACAAAAGGTTTCTGCAACTTTTATTAAATTAAAGAGCTAGGAGGATTAAGACTTGCACCTAGTGATCTCTGCATGCTGTGTATTCTGGACATTGTCCAACAACATTTTCTTCTTTTTGACTCCTACCATTAATGAGGTCTATCCAACTGGTGTATGCGTAGTTTGTTGCCTGTCAGTGGGTAACAGCAGTGCTAGAACATTGAGTTGAATTTAGCCTATGGAAAAGGGTATTTGGCTTTATAATAATTTTTATGCAAGGGAATGAAAATTTATTTGAGAGCAAATTTATCATTCCGAATTAGTTTTTTTGGGACCTTTCCTACTCTCCGGCATAATTATAATTTGCTACCTTTTTTTCAGTTTTTCCTGGCTGTGTCCGGGATATAAATTCAAATATGCAATTGTTTCGACTATTGAGGTTGTCAAACCTTTTATTTTGCGCAATGAAACTTTAAGCAAGGTTTAGGAGAACTACGTGTGTCTAAGAGAGTATTTGAACAGAACGTATTTTGCAGTATTTTGAATGTTATTGCGTTTCAGGGAATTGAAGATCAATGTGTGTTTATCCAGTCGATATATTTATGAAATGTTTCATGATTAATATCTTGCGATTATCCAGGTTTGTTGCTTCAGCTCGTCAATTGGCCAAGTCTTTGGAAGTCCCATTGGTAAATGATTTGGGATATACAAAGAGATACGTCCGGTGCCTACAGGTAACATACATATTCTTTCTATTAGGCAATTCCTGCTTTCAATATTTAAAATCTGTGAGTAACTTCTGCAACCATCGGCCCGTCTATTGTATAATTGAAAGAAATGTATGAAAATTGTGTATATATCTTTGTACGGACAAAGGGTTGATGATCCTAGATATCAACGTGTTAATTTCTTTGACTACTATATATTTACTCGGTTTATGACTATAAAATTTATCCCGGCCTTTCTTAAGCAAAACCTTGGACACTAAAATGCCAAAATAGGAATAAGAATATTCGTAAAGTAAAAAATAGACGCACTCTTATGAATGGAAAATAATATAATGAAACTAATGATGCATTTTACTGGTTATGGCTTATTCTTCTCATCATTTATTGCGATTTCTTCTACACGATTGCTCTTTTGATTTCTCTCTTTGACATATGGAAAATAATATTTCCTTGTAAATATTTCAGATATCGGAAGTGGTGAATAGCATGAAAGATTTGATTGATTACAGCCGTGAAACTGGTACTGGTCCTATGGGTAAGCATAAAATCTTCTCTTGATTATTTACACATGTTCATTTCATGTCGTTGAAGGATGGTTGTCAAACATATGTAGCTTAAATGAGAATGTTGCGATGGATATGTTCTTAAAGGAGAAAAAAAAAAAATTGACCACGGCCATGAATGGTACTATTATCCTCTATAGTGTATTAGTAAGTAAATGAAGAGATTATATTTTACAATGGTTTGAATAAAACTATTTCATGCACTGGCTAGTTAGGACTTAGGGTGAATCATAGCCGTGAAAACTGAGAGCAAATATGAAATGTGAAGGGGAGGGTGACCCAACATTAGAGGATCATCTCTTGATTGATGGAGCATGCATCCCTTGATAGAGCCAAATGGGAGAAACAGGTTTTATAGTACAACCTTTGACAGCATGGATGAGGTGCAGTCAGATTTTGAAAATTTTAGCAATAATTCAGAAAAAAAAAAATGGAGAAAATGTGTCCTCTTAATTGACAATTGTCAAACCAGCAAATGTTATGAAAATTGATGTTAACAAGAGGTAGTGAAGTTGTGGATAAAGCCGTAGTTATCAAAACCAGACCGGCCAGTCTGACCGGAAAACTGATGAACTGGCTGGTTGACTGGTCCATTTTGCACTACTGCTTTGCATTAGAATCGGGTGGGTTTGAGACTTTGAGGAGAAACCCGGACTGGTTCAGCCAATCTGGCTTACTACCAAATCCCCTTTAAGCAAAATTGAATTGAATTTTGTGGGGATGAAAACCTGCTATTCTAGGTGTTAGGTTGCACGGCTTACCAGAATGCCAAAGCAAGTTATTTTATTAGACTATAAATGTATATAGTATGATTCTGTGACATAATTTTTGCCACAAATATAAAAGAAAACTTGTGAATAAAGCATCCAGGGCAATGGACCAAACTTTATTTGTCCCATTTCAGCTTGTACGCTTATGTTGTCAAACGCTGATCAGACTCGTCTGAGTTTATGGGAATTGCATGGCAACGTAGAAGTTCATATTGGGAATCTAGAAATTCTTTTCTATTTTGGTCTTCTTTTCTTTCTATTTTCTTCATCAACATATTTTTTATGGTCCTCTTTTCTACATGTTTTATCCTCAGTTAATTTTGAAGTGATAACATATTTTAATTACTAGACGACTATATTGCTTCTGTCAACTGTTTATATCCTTGTATCATATCAATATAAATCTCGTGATGCATTTGTGTTTCTTCCCTATTCTTTCTAGTTATTATGAAATTAAATTTTCTTTCAAGATCGTAGCTCTTGGAAGTAAAACTACCAATGTGTAAAATCAGAACCCATCTTTACATTTACTCTGGCTTTAGGGTATTATTCTCCAGTTTATTTACCTCGCTATTTTACATGCGAAAAATCTTTTTTGCATATATTCATGTAAATTTCTGGCCATGGTTAATTTTTCTTCTCAGAGAGCTTGTCTAAGTTTCCGAGGCCGACAAATCCTTTGCCTGGTTTACAAGGTCAGCCTCAAGAGTCTGAGACTCAGTTAAGGCAACAGCAAGCACTGGGTCAGAACTCGAACAATGATAATATGCATGCTAATGGCATGCCAAATGCAAATAATGTTCTGAACTCGGGGACTGCTACTTCCTCTGCTAATACGATCGTCGGGCTTCTTCACCAGAACTCAATGAATTCTAGACAGCTAAACCCGATGTCTGGTGTGAATGGTCCCTATGGTGGTAATAGCATTCAGATGCCATCACCTAGTTCTTCGAATGCCATGCCGCATCCCCAACCAAGTGTATCTCCTTTCCAATCACCTACTCCGTCCTCATCTAATAATCCAGAACAGCCACACGGTGGCACATCTGGAGGAGCACACATGAACTCAAATTCATCAAATATCTCAATGCAGCAGCAGCCGGGGCTTGACCCAGATGCGAATGATTCACAAAGCTCTGTTCAGAAATTTTTTCATGAAATGATGTCCTCTTCCCAGATTGTTGGGGGTGGTATGAACATGGGGACAATGGTTGATGCTAGAAATGTCAACGGAATGTTGTCAAGCAGCAATAATGGTCTCTTAAGAAACGGCGTGGCAAATGGTAATCCGGGTTTTGGTGGCACTGGCTTTGGGATCTCGGGCAATGGACTAGGCCGTTCAACCATGGTGAGTGGAACTCGACTGCCTGGTAATAACTCTATGACTACGAATGGAAGGGTGGGCATGGCAATTGCGCGGGAGTTGAGCATGAATCAGCCACAGCCACAGCAACAGCAGGACTTGGGTAACCAATTACTTGGTCTTGGGGCAGTTAATGGTTTTAATGATCTTCAATTTGATTGGAAACCATCTCCTTGATTGTGTTCGAATTTCTAATTGCGGATATTAACGATTCTCTTTGGTCCCTGAGTTGGAAGTGCGCAACGGGAAAATGATAGACCCTTTGTCATACTGATTACAGAGAAGGAAAACATGAAAGTGCTACATGGTTGAAATTTTAGCGTCCTCTCGTCCAACTTGAATTTGCTTGGTTTGTGACAGCTGCTTATCGACGCCAACCTTTTTGAGGGGAGCTTCTGCAGTGATCTCAACTGATCATCCCCAAATGCCTGCCACTGGCTTTCTTACATGCCAATCTTCAAGGTATCTGTAAATTAACTCTTCCTCCGGCTCCTCGACTCCCTCCCTAACTTTCCCCAATATGTGGTTGTACATATATAGTTTTGATCGAGTAGAAACAAGTGTCTTTGGATTTTCAAGGGTTGCTTAGGATTTGATATACACTTGTTCAAATCCTTTGATCATCTTTAAATAGCTGAGAAATGAAAGCCCTTTCTAGGTTGTTTTTGGCACTGGATTTTCTTCACCCCCCCACCCACCCACCTCCCGCCCCGCCTCGCCTGCCCGCCCTTAAATCATAATCCACAAGTGGTGGGAGAGAGCACTTTAAAGAGAGTAACACTGTAATGTAATATGTATTTTTTTATGACTGTTGAATTCGACTTGATGCTTTATTTCTGTCCTACTATCAATGGTTTAGTTGGGACATGACCAATGTGAGCTCGGAGCTTCCTTTGGAACTCACAAAATGGTATGTTGAAACTCGAGTTAAATAATACGGGACCTTCTAACACGACGCTGGGGTTGGTCAAATTTTGATACTGCGACAATTCCATTATATGCCACGTGTAGAAGGCTTGAAATGTTGGCTATAACAAAATCCAACTAGGGTTTGTGCTTGGCTTAAGCTACCTCACTTGTTAGCATGGATGAATTTAAGATCAATGCAAGTCCTTCGCCCACCCTACCCATTCTATTTGTTCGAATCATAGTTGTGTTTACTCCTAATTTTCAATGAGGATATTGGCTATACTTTTCTTTGAGGCTTTAACTGTAATTAAAATGTGGTGCAATAAATAGTAGCCGAGGCATAACTTGGATCCACATGTTTCTGAAAAAAATTTCAAACCCAAAATATGACAATATGAAAAATAACAAGTAAAATATAAAATAAAAAAAATGACAAAAATCTCATAATAGGTGGGGCTAGGGACCCCATTGGCTCTATCCCCCCTCGGTCGATGACAACAAATAAAAACTGTGGTGTCAATATAATCATTCTTATGTTTAATATATTAAAGATAATGATAAGTCCCCACTATTTCACAATTGGGCTTAAGAAAGAAATTTCTTCTTATTTATATGATAATTTTTGTTTTGATTTTCATGTCGATGCATTGGTTGTCAAGTTCTTGAATCTCTTAACGTGAGATTACGAATCTCTTTTTTTCCCCCTCATATATATATATATACTAGTCAAGCGCACGTGCCGTAGTATAGTTGGCTTTGTAATAGTGTTGACTGATTTTTGGTTATTTTTGAAGACATCACTAATTAAATCTTATTTAGCAAAACTTCTTCAATAGAAACCTTAAAGTTATAGTGAAAAATAAACAAATAAACAAAAAGGAAGTTAGAAAAAAAGAGGAAATTATTCATCATAAACAACCAATATAAATCAATTCGAATTTAAAAACACCCATACACTAACAAACTACCAAGATATTGCTGTTTCTTCTTTCTTCCTCAATTTTTTTTGAAGTACAAACTCTTAGAGGCCTTGCATATCACATTTTAAGTTTTTTGAGGGTGGGTAGAAAAGGAAAATTAACGATTATGATTTTACGTTTAATAATTTAAGATAATTTTTATATTTAAACTTAATCGACAATATATTTATTATAATCATATTTTAAGTTTTTTTTTAAAAAAATTAAATCTATTAAAATAGATATTCATATAGTGAAATATCGAATCAAACATTGTGCGAAAAATTACGTTTGAAAAAAAGACATTGAAATGTGGCTGAAATTGAAAAGAAATATAAACAATCATAACTTTACGTTTCACAATTAATGTAAAATTATTTTTGATATTTAAAATTTATCGACCATATATTTATCATCGCCGCACTTCAACATTTTCAACAAATTTTAAATCACTTAAAACACATATTTGTAACTTAAAATA